GTGGTTGTTTCCCGCGACAGTTGCCTTCTGAACTTTAGCCTAGGGACCTAGCCTTAGGGACCATATCAATCCTAAGTCAGAGAGACAAGTTGATCAAATTGACGGATAAACTTTTCGGATTGAAGTAGAAAAATGTTTACTTTCAAATTTAAGAACCAGGAAGAGAATTCCAATATGGAATGACAGGATCATCTGCATCAAGGAGATAGATATTACGCGTATATCTAACACTTTCATCTGCACTAACATGCGTAACAGCCCTTTTTGCATTGGTGCAACAAAGGTCGTTCTCATTTTACATTATTTCAAAAAGATTCTTGCGCAGATATTTGATTACATGTTTTTTTTAAACGGCCTATCGCATCACGGATTGGCTAGAGCTTCCCGCCAATCAGGCGCGGCGGATTGCTGAAAACTGATTGGTCGATGCTTGTAGGCTTACAGTCTAGGTGCGGATGTCTCTGCAACCAGTTGGAGCATTGTAAGCCGGACACCTCCACCCTCACGGTGACGTTACCTGCACTGCCACCATCCACGTCCTTCAGCGTCCCTGCAGCAAGTCGAATCCACATAATTTGAACACGACTGTGAGGAGAAGGGGAGGAGGAGGGGATCACATCACCTGAGATGTTTCATTTGTCCTAAACTGATGGGCTAGGGGCGCATGACTTAACGACCACATTCCCCGTGATTAAAATTTTCTTGCTTAATCTTCACCTTCCACACCTGTCCGTCATGACGAGATGGGGAGGTTTTGTTTACGAATAGAGGAAATCGCTCGGGGGGCTCGCTTAGGTTTCTCGCTTGGGCGCTTCTTTTCTGACCATATACCCGAGCCAAAAATAACGCCCTCATTAATACCTGAGCCAAAGATGACGCCCTCATTAATACCTGAGCCAAAGATGACGCCCTCATTAATACCTGAGCCAAAGATGACGCCCTCGTCCCACAGGTGCAGCGCTGCCGATGTTATGTCGACCACATCGCAATTTGGTGTTCGCTGCTCAACTGCAATTATGACGAATAAAATTAATAGGGATATGCAGCGATGAACGTTGTAGTGAGGTGGGTAGGTGGGTAGGTGGGTAGGTGGGTAGGTGGGTAGGTGGGTAGGTGGGTAGGTGGGTAGGTGGCGAAGACGAGGAGAGAGCATGGAGAGAGAAAGAGAGAGAGAGAGACGCGGAGAGATAGAGAAGATAGACGAGGGGCGCGGAGATAGATTAGATAGAGAAAGAGAGAGTAGTGGGTGAGATGGCGAGAGAAAGTAGAGAGAAGAGAGAGAAAGAGATAGAGAGAGAGAGAGAAGAGAGAGAGAGAGAGATGGCAGAGAGCGGGGAGATAGAGAGAGAGAGACAGAGACTAGAGAGAGTAGAGAGAGTGAGAGAGAGAAAAGAGAGACGAGAAGAGTAGAGAGAGAGAGAGATAGGGGTGAGATGAAAGAGAGAGAGAGAGAGACGAAAGAAAGAGAGAGAGAGAGGAGAGAGAGAGAAAGAGACGGTGAAGATAGAGATGATAGAAAGTGATAGAGTAGCAGAGCGAGAAAGAGATAGAGGTGGAAAGAGAGGAGCAGATAAGAGAGAGGGGAAAGAGAGGGCGCGCTAATAAAGCCATAGAAAGGCGAAGGGATGCAAACAGGTGAAAGCCGAGAGATAGACAGAAGAAAAGGAGAGCGAAGCGAGCAGTTACGCTTATTCTCTGTCATCGCCCCTCCTCTCTCTTACGTCCCTACGTCCTATAATCTCGTGTCTTTTCGGCTCTCTCGTCTCTCGTCTCTCTCTCTCTCTCTCTCTCTCGTTCTCTCTAAAAACTATACTCACTCTTCTCATCTCTCTCTCTCTCTCTCTCTTTCTACCATGACTCTCTCTCTCTCTCTCGCTCTCTTTTTATTTATCTCTCTCTCTCTATTCGCTCTCTCTACGCCCCTTCTCTCTCTCTCTTCTCGAACTATCTCATTTATCTTACAGCCTGTTCTTCTCACAGCTGTCATTTCCATCCACTCGCTTCAGCTGTACGAGTAGGAACGTTTCTATCGCAGATCTGGCTGTGCCGGACAGCATCACAGACTCACCGACACTCACTCGAAAAAATCACATATTGCGCCGAAAACAGAAAAATATGGAGCCAGCCGAAAAGAACGGGACGGCATGGATGATGGATGAATAGTATGGTTTATGGCATAGGATGAATGGATAGATGGATGAAATAGCATGGATGGATAGGATGCGATGGATGGCATGGCATGATGGATGCGATGCGATGATGGATGATGGATAATGGATGGAGGGATGGATGGATGGATTGATGGATGATGGATTGCAGATGGATGGATGGATGGATGCGATGATGGAGGATGGATGGATGGCATGGATGGATGCGATGGACTGGATGGATGGATGGAATGGATGGATGAGGATGGATGAGCGATGGTCTTGGATGGATGGATGGATGGCTATGGATGGATGGGATCGGATGGATGGATGATGGATGGCATGGATGGATGCGATGGCATGGATGGATGGATGATGGATGGATGGATGGATGGATTGGATGGATGGATGGATGGATGATGGATGGATGGATTGGATGGTTTTATGGAAGATGGATGGCGACTGGATGGATGGATTGATGGATGGATGGAATGGATGGATGATGTGATGCGATGGATGGAGATGGATGGCATGGATGATGGGATGGCATAGGTATGGATGGATGGATGGATGGATAGAATGGATGGATGGATTTTGTGTTCATGGCATGGAATTGGATGGATGCGATGGCTATGGAATGGATGGATGGAATGGATGATGGATGGATGGAATGGATGGATGGATTGGATTGTTTTTATGATGGATGGATGGATGCGATGATGGAGGATGAATGACATGGATGAATGGATGGATGAATGGATGTTATGAATGGATGGTCATCGAATAGTATGATGAATGATGGATGGATGATGGATGGATGGATGGGATTTGATGGATGGATGGATTAATGGATGGATGGACTGTCTGCGGGGTTTGGCAATTGGCATGGTGGATGGTATGAAGATAAATGATGGATGGATGGATGATGGCATGGATGGATAAATGGATGGAATAGATGGCATGGCCATGGATGAATGAACGAATGGCATAGATGGATGCAGTGTTCTTTAGAAACTATATAGATTGATACATGAATAGGTGGATTGATTTATGGACGTATAATGAATGGATTACATCTTCCTAGTGGGAGAAACGGCCAAGAGCTGCCTGTAAGACGCTTATAAAATAAAAAATACACTTCTCATTTAGCGATCCTGCTAAGACTTACAAGCGTTATCTGCCTCCTTCCTGCTGATCGGTTAGAAGAGAACGAGAAGAATAGAATGAAAGTGAGAGAGGAGAGAGATAGCGAGCGCGCGCGAGAGGAGGAGAAATAGAGAGGGGAATTCAAAACTAATTCCAGGAAAGAGCAGAGTAGAGAGAGCTGAGAAAGAGAGATGAGAATGAGACAAGAGAGAGAGAGAGATAGCGAGCTATGCGCGCGAGATGCAGAGTGAGAAGAGAGAGACGAGAGACCGCGCGCTCGTTCGTGCTTGCCTTCTCGTCTTTCCTTGTTCTTCGCGCGTTTAATTAAGTTCGTGTAACGAGGAGAGAGAGAGGCAGAGCAGAGAGAGTGAGAGAGAGCGCGCGCGAAGAGAGAGAGAGAGAGAGTAGAGAGCGAAGAGAGAGAGAGAGAGAGAGAGAGAGGGGAGAGAGCTGCGCGAGAAGATAGCGCGTGCGAAACACAGCGATGCGTAACACAGTAACACACAGCAGTAATCCGTAACACTAGCCTGGGCACAGCAGCAAACCCGGCCTTTATTTTCATTTCCACACCGCTTGAATAGCAAACCTCGACAGTCATCAACAAATCTTCCTCCGCGAATATCGAGCAGCCATTTATTGTTGCTGTCGTAATTCATCACGTCTTTTAACATGTGTATAGAATGAGGCATTGTACGGATGTGACATCAGATACTAGGTAGCCGATATAGCTACACTTGCCATAAATAATAGAGAGAAGATCTAGAGAGTGAGAGAGAGAGAGAGAGAGAGAGAGGAGAGACGGCAGAGAGCACAAAGCGAGAGAAGAGAGGAGAAGAGAGAGATGAGAGCGAGAGAGAGGAGAGAGAGGCAGAAGAGCAAAAGCAAGAGAGCGAGAGAGAGAGAGAGATGAGAGAGAGAGAGACAGAGAGAGGAGAGAGAGAGAAGAGATGAGAGAGGGAGGTGAGAAAAAAGAGATTAGAGGGGGGGGCGGGGGGGGGAGGGGGGGGAGGGGAGGAGGGGAGAAGGGCGGGAGAAATGAGCAGAGCGAGAGGAGAGAGAAGAGGAGCGCGCGCTCTTTTCAGTTAACATGCGAACACAGTTACTGCTTTCCATAGCCATAAATTAAATTAGGTTAATTAGATTAAATTAGGTTAAGTTTTATTTAAGATAAATCATTTCATTTATGGTTCATTTAGGTTTTCATTTTTTTAATTATTAATTCGAAACAACTACCAAAATATATAATATCAACTTTACATCATTTTAAAAACATTACACGCACACACACAATACCACACACACACACACATACACGACACATACCACACGCCACACACCACATACATACACATGCATCACACGCACACACACACACACACACACCATACCAACCACACACACACACACACACACACACGCACATCACACACATCACCACACACACACACACACCACATACATTACACTCATTACACACACACACACACACACACACACACACACACCACACACACACACACACCACACACACACATAACATTACACTATAACATATACATATACATATACATAACATATACATATACAGGTATACATTACATATACATTACATTATATATACTATATTACAATACATATTACATATACATATTACAAATACATATACATATACATATACATATACTATATACGATATACATATACATACATACACGCAGTCATACACACACACACGCGCGCGCGCGCACGCATGCACGCACGCACGCACGCACGCACACACATACACACACACATATGATATATAATATACATATAATATGAGCGTCCACTGATACACGTGAGTTACATCGGCCCTATACAACGCAGTATAGATATATATTCTATTCAATAATGTAGAGATTCATGAGATTGGATTTCCATGGGATTCATGCACAGCGCTGAGCGCGGTTAGCATCCGCGGGCGCTCGTCTCCAATGCTGCGTGCCTTGTGACACAGACACAGGCGTTAAAGATTAGAGTTACAGGCGAAACACTCGATGGAAACCATGCAATAGGCTTCATCTCGTAGCCGGGAGACGGGAGGCTGGAATGTGTGTGTACACACGACGATGTATGTTGTGTGTGTGTGTGTTCGTGCGTGTGGCGTGTGCCGTGTTGTCGTGTGCCGTGCCAGCGTGGTGTTGCGGGCGCGTTGCGGTGCGCGTGCGCGTGTGCGTTGGTGCGTGTGCTGTGCGTGCGCGTGGCGGTGTGCGTGTGCTGTGTGCGGTGTGCGTGTGCGTGTGGCGTGCCGCGTGCGCGTGCGTGTGTCGTGCGTGTGCGTGTGCGTGCGTGGCGTGCATGTGCGTGTGCGTGTGCGCGTGCGCGTTGCGCGCGTTTGCCGCGTGCGCGCGTGTGCGTGATGCGTGCCGGCTGCGCCGTGCGTGTGCGTGTGGTGTGCGTTGCGTGTGCGTGTCCGTGCTGTCGCGTCCTGTGCGTATGCGTGTGCGTGTGCGTGTGCGTATGCGTTGCGTGTGGCGTGCTGCGTGTAGCGTTGTGCGTGCTGCCCGCTGTGCGTGCGGTGTGTGTGTGCACGTTGTGCGTTATGTGTGTGTGTTGTGTGTGTGTGTGTGTGGTGTGTGTGTGTAGTCAGTGTGGTGTCAGTGTGTGTGTGTGTGTGTGTGGTGTGTGTGTGTGTGTGTGTGTTTGTGTGTGTGTGTGCGCGTGTTTTATGTACAG